TCATCCACATAAATCGTCAAAATGACATCATCATCATCATCAGACACAACAGCAGCAGTATCACTTTTTTCTTCATCCAATTTTTTCTCATCATTTGCCCTTTTGAAAGTAGCCATATCCCTTCTCAGCTTCTTGCAGCACACTTGGATATGTCCTTTTTCATAATAATAATAACATTCTATATTACTGTAATATCTATCTCTTGACTTGGATCTTCCTCTTGATCCATCAATCCTCTTTTGAGTCTTCTCTTGATCAAAATCTTCTACAGCTAGTATACTCTCCTTGGTGATGAGTTCTGTGCTCTTATAAACCTTTCATTCTCACGTAACATGGCAGTTATATTATCTAATTTCAAAGTAGACCTACCCACCAACAAAGTTTGAACTAAAGGTCTATAAGACTTGGGCAAAGATGGTAGCAAAATTAAAACCTTTTTATTATCTTCTAACTCATCAATAAAAATCACCAGCAATTGAGAAACCAATCTATTAAACTCATTTATGTGCTTATGAAGACTTGCACATTCTTTCATCTTTAAAGAATACAAATCAATCTTTAAAGAATATAGATCTATCTTCAAACATAATTTGTTAGTCAATAACTTTATTGCATAAATGCTCTCAAGCTTATCCCACAAACTCTTTGGAGTACTTTTAGTCAATATACTATACTTTACCTCTAAGGCTAACGTCAATCTAATAGTACTAACAGCTTTATTTTAAATTCTATTCCAATTACCACCAGACATTCTTTCAAGCTTACTGCTCTCTAATGCTTGATCCAACTCTTGTTGTACAATAGATCTTGAATCGTACTTTGTCATAACATAAAATTACTCTTTTCATCAAATAACAAAATCTCAAACTTAGGCATAAGCATACTAGACATATTTTCTTTAGACATATTGAAACACTGCTTCACGATCTTTTAGGCCCATCGAACCTCACTCTGATACTACTTGCTAGGAAATCAACACGCATATATAGCACCCACACACAAAATAGCAAGCTCAAATCAAGAATTAAAACACATAAATATATTTGTTTCAGCCCAACTCAAAATGACCTACTCCAAATCCAATCTACTAATAAATAAATCTTTACAACTTAGAGACTTTTGAAATGAGAAAAGTCACCAAAAACTCCTTACTCAAAACTTAACCCAAAACCTAATTATATCCTTTTAATAGCCTATTCACCATAGCTATTCTCTTGGTGTCTAACTATCTGGGATTGTTAAACCAAAATCAAAACATCTTATTTATAAAGGTGAAACCCTTTATACTTTTACCAAACTCCCGATGTGAGATACAAGATAAACTCTCAATTCTTATAACTTTACTCAACTTTCGATGTGAGATTTTGAGATTCAAAGTAAATTCCAACAATATTAATTAAAAGTTTTCCTTTGTTTTCTAATTTTACTACTTTGTCTTTTAAACAAAAACAAAAAACTTTGCCAAATTGTCTCCAATTTCGTTGAAGGCGTGCAACGAAACACCATGCTATTAATGTTTCGATCTCTTTCACTGAAAAGCAAACCAACTTCCATAATCCAAATTTCTTTAATGGAAAACACATATTAATCCAATTTTTATTTATTTGTGCACTTTACTTTTTGGCCTGGAATTGGGATCAACGTTACTTTTGCAACCCAACATTCAGAATTCTTTTAATCACACAACAAAAGAAATAGCAAAAATATTGAAATTTCCAAAAAAAAGATCTAACATAAATAATTTTATAAATTTGACGAAATTTATAATTTTAATCGAAACTATCACAAAATCACACAGTTTTTATATATTCTTAATTGAATTGCACCACATCATTTGAACCACGTTTAAAGTTTTACACAAAACCACATTTAATAAGTTAGCCTTAGCCACAATTACTTTGAAAAAAGCCAATTAACAATGTTATAACCCAAAATGTTGATTTGATGCCAACACAAATTCTTTCCACTTTGATCATACACAATTTGTGTCAGATGCAAATATATTCTTTCATATTTACTACATATATTATCTATAAAATTGGATCTTAAACGTGCAATGTTTGTCAGTTTCTCCTCATAAGAAAGTTGAAATCTAAAATTTAGATTCTAGACCCACCTTTAAACTTCATTATATATATTAAAAAATTTTAAAAAAAATTAAAATATTCAAATCTATATATGTGAATTTGAAATGCAAGTTTATGCCAGGAAGATATAATCTTTGGCGAAAAAATAGTGAAAAAGCAGTTTGTCAAAAATGTGTCTGAATACATATAAATTTGTTAGGCGGTGAGACTAGTGAAATACAATTGATTTTTAACCCCAAGTCAAAGTCTATCAACGACTTTTAAATATTTTGTCTGTGTTTATTGACCAAATTTCCAAAGATTAATTGCCGGGAATTTTCCAAATAATTAATGACGATGGAAACGTTACAGCATATTTAAACCAATGAGACAATAGCATGTTACATCATGGCATGAAAAACAAGAAATTTAAGGAAAGGCTTTAAAGTGTGCATCAATGTCACTTTTTTAAGGTTTTATTCATCTCATCAGTTAATTATTTAGTTGTATTTTCAAAACTAAACTTCGATAATACAATGAAATTTAATGATTAATTATAATTTACACTAACAAATCTAACCATTAAACATTCATCGGTTTAAAAATATAACTATTTAATTTGACAATAAAAAACTTGCAAAGGTTTTTTTTTTTTTTTTTTTTTTTTGTGTTGTTCCATTTTAGGAACGTTTTTAAAAGGCCAACTGTTTTTTGTGTTTTTGACAAATAAAAGTTCTGTTTATAATCAAATATATGTCTCACATAACTGTCTAAATGAGTGTCTATTTATACAAATATAATTGTCCAAATAGATGTTTGTTAGGACAAACACAATTATCCAAACACAACTTTTTCGTAAATAATTAAAAAAAATACAATTTATATCATTAATTTGAAAATATTCTAACATAGGAGCACCCGTAAAACCATACTTTTAATTTCCTTCATTTGATTAATATTTATCCTATCTGATCAATATTTATCCAATCTCATATATAGTAATGGACAAAAAGATTGCTGGCAACAACTCAAACAGGAAGCATTGATCAGTTGAATGATTTAATTCTGGAAGATGGAAATGTTTTAAGATGCCTGGATCAAGATGAACAGGCTATGCAATAAGATGTTTATATTCATCCTTATGAATTTACAAGTAAAAAAATTTCTCTCGTGCTTTTTTTTTTTTTAATTTTTAATCTATTTTTAAATATTTTATCCTAATATTTACTTTGATTGGAAAAAAATTACACGTATAAATTCTTTTGAACCAATAACTTTCAAGCATCAACTCTAATAACATGTCAACTAATCCAAAAGTTAATCAACAAATCCCCATGCTTTTAATAATCAATTATATAGTCATTAATAAAACATTAAAAATCAAATAGACCAAAATATCAACCCGTATCTCAAACTCTTTTAATTAGGTTAATTGGAAACCCTTGATAGATTTTTTTTCTTTTTACATCATTCCAACCAATCAAACTAAAACCATATTCGAAATGGCTTAAAAATCGTTGAATATCAATATTGTCATATAAGAGTATAATATTAAATTTGTGTTCATTCAAAATAAACTTTCTTTTTTATCTGAAAAGGAAAATAGATAAACCTTGGTCTTTTGCAAGGTTGAAAACTTAATAAATCAACTATGTCAATCACTTAATTTAGTACAATATTTCTCACCTGCCTGCCACAGTATCTTTTTAAACCTAAGAACTTCCTCAATTTATATAAAAAATGGGGTTTTTTTTTTTTTTTTATGTTCTTTTATGGATATTGGTCATTGGTTGTTGTCACTTAGTAATAATTATACATAAAACATTTTCTTCTAAGACGGTAATTTTAAAATAAAATATTATATTATTGTCACCTTAAACTTTAAAATTTAATAAAAATGGTTATATGTTAGTTGTCATGCTTACATTTACGCCTTAGTTTGAATCTTTTCTTCTCCTTCCTAAACCAGACTTGTTTTTGAATTAGCTAGGCTGCTATTATAATTCAGTTAAAAGTTTAATCTATCGCTCAACATTTTAATAAATTTTTTAAAATAATTATATGATTTACTGATAAAATATTAAAATTTTAATTTTAGTGATTAAAATTAAATTTTTGATATAGAAAAGAAATAATTTTTTTTAAAAAAAATTAACAATTAATTTTATAATACTATTTATACATCCACGAACATAAGTGCATGAAATAAACTCATATACGAGATAACAAATTAAACAAAAGGAAAAAAAAACAAAGACTAATAAATTGACATGTTACAAAATAGAACAATATAGAAAATAAGAAGCAATTTCCATTAGCATCTTAGCTTCTCAAGTGGTAAAACAATAAGAGACCCTAGATTCGAGCCATTGTTTTCGCTATACCAAAAGAAATTGCAATGGCTATCCTTCAACACTAGATATGCATCCAATATCCATGTGTAGGGGACATGGACATGGTTTGACTGTTCAGGCGTTACAATGTTAATTGTACAGCTTTATGCAGGACCTACAAAGACTATGGAATAACAAGCATCCTAGGACTGAAATGGGTGCTTCTATCAAGCCTCCAGATTCAAAACCAATGAGTAAACAAAGTCCTACAACTAAAACAGTTCCTTTCCAGAATTCGTCATGCAGAAAAAGGAATAACCAACATTTCCTACAAAACCTAGAAACTGATAACCTGGAGGGAATATCCAGCATCCCAGAATAAAAACACTAACTTTTGACACTTGATAAGCAAAACACATGAAAATCATCAAAATGAAAACCATAACTGAAACTATATTGATAACTACAGTTGCTAAAACAATTGGCGCTAAGAAATAGATTGATTCATAGAAGCATATAGCAAGAAATGAAAGGAGTACCTGAAGAGCAGTCCTGAAACCACGAGGAAAAGGTTTAAGAAGACCCAATGTTAAGAAAAACGCTACTGTGAGACAGCAGAGGTTGGAATGTAGAAATAAAGAAAAGTAATTTGATCCATGACTGATTTCCCTACATTTTCTTTATCTCTATGATTGGCAGTGGAGTTTGAGGAACTGTCTTCCTGCCAAACACTACCAGGTGGGCTAAGACTGGCTTGGTAGGTTGCTGTTAAAAGCAGTCCTAGAATTACTAGTAAGTCATTGCGGTCCTCAATTGATATATTGTCCATATCTTGAAAATTCACAGCTGATGACTTCGTCACATACTTGAACAGTTGTTTCTGCAATTTATAATTAAAAGTTGAAACTCTTGGAATACAGTAACCACGCAGAATTCTAATGCTTTCTCTGATATAAAGTTGTTGTGCAACATCCAGTGCCGTTGAACCAGCCTGATTGGTCGCATGTTTGTCAGCCTTGCAATGCAATAGCAGTTTAAGCATCTGTTTAATTAAGAGTGATGAAATTATACAATCTGAAAAGAATCTATTTCTTTTGCTAAAAGTAAAATTATTTAGAGCATATGTGTAGAACCTCATATTGATTATCGTGGGCAGCTATGTGCAAGGCAGTGTCGCCGTTCCTGTCTTTTTGATTCACCACATCCTCACGACAGTCGGTCCTCCTAAGGATCCCGCATAGGAGTTTGAGAGGTTCTAATTCTTTGTTGATCGTTGCAATATGCAAAGCAGTCTCGTTTGTAGTTTTCATACCCGAATGCATTCGGGTCAAGCCTTCAGAAAGCTAGCTATGAGATGAAGGTTGTGTTCTGTGGTTATTGCGTAGTGCAAAGGAGTCTCACCCTTCTTCCCTTTGACACGAACAAGATCTTTATCGTTTTTCATGAGAAGTAGCACCAGCTCTTTATGCCCCTTTTCAACTGCAAGGTGGATGGGACTAAAGCCTTGTTGGTTTAACATCCTAGCAAATGTAGGCTTTGAAGTCATTATCTCCATGGCAAAATCAATGCACCCTTCAGCTGCAGCTATGTGTAATGGAGTGTCAACGAACTCCATCTCATCAATATGCCTCAAAACATTAGAATCTCTTTGGATTGATGCATATAATTCATCCACATTTCCTTTTTGAGCGGCCCTCCCCAAATTTTCATCCATATCAGAAAAGGCAAATGACAATGAAAATGACAGGCAAAAAGGAAAAAAAAGGGGTTAGACTACTCTATACAGCAAAATCAAGGGTAAAGGAGAAGATAGAGGAAATTAGGAGTATGGTTTCGCTTAAAATTGAGCAACTCCCTTTCCCCCGGTAAGCACAAACACGAAATTTAGGTGCAATGATAAATGTAGAATTTGCATGTTAGATATAGTAATGCAATAAATATTTTTATATTCATCCTTTAGGAATTAATTTACAAGTAAAAAAATTGCCGTGCTTTTTAATCATCAATTATAGTCAACAAGAAAACACTAAAAATAAAAAAAGGACTAATTAAAATAAGTTAAAATTTGTACAGATCAAAATTTAAAAATTCAAACTCATACCCAATATTTTTACTTTTTCCGTTTTAATTCAATTACACAGTACCTTTCAAACTTAGGTGCTGTTTAGTCAGTCTATTACAGTCAACAAAACATTAAAATAAAAGCAGAATATTGAAAACTTAGTTTTGATCCATATCTTCAATTTTTTTTAGGTATTAAACTGAAACTGTTCAGACACGAGTATTGTTTATCCATATGGTCCAAAACGTTGAAAAAAAAAAGTTTTTTCACTTTTAACAAGCTATAAAAATTTTCAAACTTTATTTCCTGTTTTTTGCTTCTGAATATGAAAAACAACGTGTCAAATTCAAACACTTCTGCATCCAATTTCCAAAAGTGTTTTGAAAAACATGAAAGGCATTTTATCCGATTTCCGAACTACTGTTCACCTTTTACGTAACTTTCTCCATCACTTTTCCGACTCTATAAATCAAATCAAATCAAATCAAACGCCTAACCCTATTGTCTCGCCTTTTATCTTTTCACTCCAAATCTCCACGAGCCAAGTGGGGAGATAGATGATCGACACCGAAAGCACTCAGCCTCTTCGGCCCACTTCAAAACCACCGGAAGCCCTATAGCCCTACACCCAACTTTCTCTCGCTTTTTTTTTATTCATTTTATTTTTTAATTATAAAAAATACCTTTTTAATAATAGTTAAAAGAGAATAATCAATTTACATAAAAAAATTTATATCTTCTTACATTTTTTTAATTATTAATTTTAATAAATTTAATAAATGAGATTAAATTATTTTTTTATTTGTTTTTCGGATCTCTTGAACATGTTTTAACCAATGGTTAGAGAATGTTGGAAGAAAATATAAATTTTTTTATATAAGTTGATGTATCTGATAATTAAATATTCAAATTATATCTAACTTTGAAAATGAGTAATTTAATATTTAAATAAATAAATAAACTATTAATAATCTTATAAAAAAGATTATAATCTAAAAAAAAAAATTAAATATCAAATTTATTAAATATCATTTCATGATTACATGAATTAACTAAATAAATATTAAATTCATCATTAATAAATATAATACTTAAATTAATAGAATTAATGAAGTTAATACAAAATAACGAATTAATTTTCATCGAACATAAATATAACACCTATAATATTACATAAAAATTTTAAAAAATATATTCAAATTTATGTGAAGTTGAAATGCAAGTTTACGCTAGGAAGATAATCTTCGACGAAAATATGATGAAAAAGCAGTTTGTGAAAGATGTGTCTAAATACATGTAAGTTTGCTAGGCGGTCGGGCTAGTGAAATGCATTTGACTTTTAATCCGAAGTCAAAGTCTATCGACGACGTTTAAATATTTTGTTTGTGTTTATTGATAAGGAACCAAATTTCCAAAGATTAATTGCTGGGAAATTTCCAAATAATGAAGATGGATACTTTATAGCATATTTAAACCAAGGAGACAATAACAAGTTACATCATATGTATGCAAGAATGTTAAACTTATTCATATTTATTGAGAAATTTGATTTTTTACTTAAATGAAATAAAGATGGATATTACATTACAGACATGAAAATGAAGACGGATATAATTTTAAATTTTTATTTGCATAAAGATGAAATAAGTAATATAGCATTTATCCCGTATCCATACCTTATATATATTTTTATATATTAAGTAAAAAAATTATTAAATAATATAAATTATTATTTTAGATTACTTAAAATTAATAAATTTTTATTGAAAAAATATATATTAATATATATTTTTAAAAATTACTTAAATATACATGATAAAAAATTTTAAAAAAAGTTAAAAAATATTTTTTATTTTTTATTTTTTTCAAAAGTTATTGGTACGAAGATTACTATACCGATTAAATATCCATGGGAATGGGGATGGGATAAATTTAAAATATCTATTGAGTATAGATACAAAAATAAGTATAATATAAATATTAGAGGAGAGGGATAAGAAATACTCTACCCTCTTCATACCCTACTCGTTAACATCCATATACGTATGCAAATCAAGAAATTTAAGGGAAGACTTTAAATAGTGTATCAATATTACTTAATTATTTACCATGCAAATGTGTTTTTTGCAATAAACGTCGATAATACAATGAAACTCAATTATTAATTATATTTTGTAATAACAAAATCAATTCACTAAACATTCATCAGTTTAAAAACATAATTATTTAATTTAGCTATAAAAAACTTGCAAAGATTTTTCTTGATTTTGTTCCATATTAAGAACATTATTTAAAGGTCATTTGTTTTTGTGTTTTTCAAAAGCTAAAGAAGTTTTGTTTATAATCAAATAGATGTCTCACTTAATTGTCTAAATAAATGTTTATTTATATAGATATAATTGTCTAAATAGATATTTGTTAGGACAAACACAATTATCCAAACACAACTCTATGCAAATAATTAAAAAATATATACAATATTTTATTATTGTTTTGAAAATATTCTAACATAGGACCAACCCTAAAACCATACTCTTAATTTCCTTCGTCTGATCAATATTTATCCTATCGTAGATATGGTAATAGAAAAAAGATCGGGGGCAGCAACTCAAACAGGAAGCATTAATAAGTTCAATGAATTAATTTCAATAGATGGAAATGTTTTTAGATGCTCGGATCATGATGAATAGGTTATGTTCATCCTTAAGGAATTTAGAAGGAAAAAAAAAATCTTCCATGCTTTTTTTTTTTAGTTCTTAATTTACCCTTAAATTTTTTTATCTTAATACCTATCAATATAGTAAAATAAGAGTACAATATTAAATTTGCATTCATTCAAATTAGACTTTCTTTTTTATCTCAAAAGCAAAATAGTCTTTTGCTAGCTTTTAAAGCTTAACAAATCTAATTATATCAATCACTTAATTTGGTAGAATATTTCTCACCAGCCTGCCATGGTATCTTCCTAACCTTAATAACTTCCTCAATTTATATAAAAAATGGTTCTTCTTTTATGTTCTTTTGTGGGTATTGGTGATTAGTTGTTGTCACTTAGTAATAATTATATATAAAACATTTTCTTATAAGACGGTCATTTTAACATATAGTATTATATTATTATCATTTTAGACCCTAAAAATTTACAAAAAATTGTCAAATGTTTGTTGTCATGCATACGTTTACCTTTAGTTTTGAATGTTTTCTTCTCTCCTTCCTAAACCACACTTGTTTTTGAATTAGCTAGGCTGTTATTGTAATTCAGTTGAAAATTTAATCCATCGCTCAACCTAGTGTTGGTTTTAATAATTTCTTTTGTACAGTTGCATGATATATTGATTAAATGTTAAATTTTTAATTATAGTGATTAAAATTTAATTTTTGATATAGAAAATAAATAAAACTTTTTTTTAAACTCAACAATTAATTTTATAATACTATTTATACATCCACGAACATAAGTGCATGAAATAAACTCATATACAAGATAACAAATTAAACAAAAAGAAAGAGATAAAGTGATACATCGACATGCTACAAAATAGAACAATTTAGAAAATAAGAAGCAATTTCCATTAGCATCTTAATTGCTTAAGTGGTAAAAGAATAAGAAACCTTAGTTTCGAGCCATTGTTGTCGTTGTACCAAAAGAAATTGCAGTGACCATCCTTCAAGACTAGATATGCATCCAATATCCATTTGTAGGGGACATGGACATGGTTTGACTGTTTAGGTATTACAATGTTGGTGTGTAGCTTTATGCAAAACTAATAGATACGAAAGAATAACTAGCATCCTAGGAGTAAAATACAATGAATGATAAAAAGCTGCATTGCATTTAAACCCCTAAATCCATCAATCCATTAGTTTGTTTTTTGGTTTCTTCATCTTTTTCATTGCAGCCGACCGTTAAGCATTCAACGTTATCATACCTCTTTTTTACTGATATATACATATTTTATTCTTTTTTATTTATATTCTTCGATATAAGTCATTTTTTCCTTTCCTTACTATATATTTTTTTTGTATTTTTATGCATATTCCACTGTCACCTACGATGCCCAACCTCTCTTCATTGCATGTATGGTTTTTCTTTGTTGTTTGGTTTAGTATTATGGTTTGCTTAATGGTTTTGTGAAAATTAGTTGTTATATTTGTACTCACCATTTATTTTGCATGAAACTCTTATGATATGTTGGAATCACAATATGGCTTGTACCTGTAAACTATTTATTGGTTTTAGAATGTTTT